ATGTTTTGTCTCTAACTCAGCTCTGCTGCACTCGCGTTAAATTGAAGGAATGAGTCTCTGTCAACCACCGTACCATATGTAAACTTGGCAAGTAAGACTGCATCAATTCCAATTCGGTTTAATGGAGTCACTCTCAGGGTAGCTTGTGTGACAATACTATTTCTCTGCATATAAAGGATAGAAGTCTCCAATTTTCCGATCTCAAAATTTTCCTCTCTTGTGTATATGTAGTGTAATTTTCCTCTTGCTGGTCGATGCCTTGATGTGACTCGGCTAAGGACTGATGATAATTGCTTCTACTTGGATCATAAAAAAATCGGATTCTTTTCTTGCCTGCATGTTTGAAAAAGTAGCGTCATGGCTGATTTCTGATCGAGTTAGCGGGGGTTATTTCCTTATTTTTTTGTTTCTGTTGTCTTACTCTAGCTGTTACCGTCAAAAACGTACTACAGACAGTCATTTGGAAATCCACAGTTTTGGTCAATCTGAGAATAAGCTTAATATATCCACAAGTCATGAGCACTGAAGGCCAAATGCGCCGATGTCAGATTATTTTTAGCAGCCTAAGCCGTCTTTGAGTGAGGACTATACTTTTCCAACTCATAAAACAAAACAACTTTTTATACAATCTGAACTAGTTTTCCTTATCTTTCTCTTCTCTCCGACGAATGGCTAACGCTCGAAACGTTTTTGTAATCGTTACGTTTTTGTAATCGTTAGCTTTTGTAATTGTTACGGGGGCCAATTTACCATTTCAACTTTGTTGATATATCCAAATTATTTCCTTGATAAAACTGAATACGAAACAATAACAGCAAAAGCAAACAATAACAATGAATTATAAATAGCGCAAGTCAATTCTTCAACAGACACTATTGAGACAAGTCAGGGCTGTACGGAGCTGGGGCAATTCGGGCCAAGCCACCTCTTGCAGTTCACAGTACAAATGTTTTGTTTTCCTCTCTTTCAAAAGCCTCGTGTAATGTTTAATAACTTCCTTAGAAGTGATAAAAAAATCCAGATGGAATACGAAATTACTGTTTGGGTTAGGGTTGCTATTCTAATCTGGTCTAGTAGTCTCTCTAGAAACTCAAAGGACCTCAGAAAACTTCCTCAGATCGCTTATCTATTTACAGTCCTATTGATGATATTTATGTTTTCCTTTCCCTTTGGGATTACGATGTGCTTGGAATGCCCTCTATTCGAAAGAACAACGTAAATATCAGTTGATAACCTCAACATAAATATTGAAATCCGCTCTCCATCCAGCCGTGACGAGTTGCACCCTGTGACTCTCGTCATAAACAAAACAAAATTCTTGGCCTCGTGATTCGATCAAATAACTGCTTTCCATCTCGTCGACGTTTGATAGATATCTTGGTCAGTATATAACTTGTCAACAAAGTTTCGCTTTTATTTTCACCGGAAGTGAGCTCAAGTTCAACGAAAACACCACTTGAGAACATACAAGCTACAATCAGCACGTCCGCGTTAATTTTTAGGCTGTGGATGGACTGTGGAACTTAGATATTTACTGCTGCTGTGTTAGGCTGTGCCGCATGAATGGAGTTCTCGGTGCTGTTGATAGCAAGCGTTTTTCTCATTAAGGTCTCAGGTAAGCATCGTTAGGTTAGAAAACGTGGTAATAGAATACAGTTGTACAATTTCGAAAGTACTAAGAGAACATTCTCGGCTCAATAATATGCGACAGCTCACGTAAAGAAAAAAAAATGATTCATATTTACTCTATATTCGTGGGTTGGTCATAGCGTAAGAGTAACATAGAGGTCGTAAAATTGGTCATAATCCTACTTTAGCTGGATGTTATCGAAGCGCTCGAGCTCCTTAGCAATTTTAAAACTTATCATTAGTAACTAGGCGCGACTTAACAAATTAGGATCGTGCGGTGCATGATCTGCATTCACGGCACTCAGCGAGGCGAGTGATATTTGCTTATCCTTTATGGCCGTCGATATTAAGATAAAATTTCAAAAACGAAATAACATCACGAGATGCCATAACGTGAAAGTGACGGTCGCGGTTAAAAGGATTGACTCGAAAGGACCTCATTAAATATTCTATAGAAAACGTATGTTTATGTTTTCTTTGATTTACATTTTTTTGGACTTTCACTACAAATATGTTTTCTAGAATGTTTAATGAGATCCTTTCGAGTCATCCCTTTCAACCGCGACAGAAAGTGACTGGATTCCCGCAGAAGCGAAAGTATCGCGTTTTTTCTATCGAGCTATCATGGTCGTCAGTGTTTATTCAACCCTTTAGAAATTTTATACCATGATGAGTAAGAAAATATTCATAACGATTAAAATTCCTGCATAAGAAGACTCACACACCTTTCAATGATATAAATAGAAGTTGTATTTCGTATAATTATTCTTCAACC